AACTATATACAAATGTGGCGAAAGATAATCGATGACTATAGGTTGTAATATCTGAATGATTTGTTTGAAATTAAATTGATTTTTTACGGTCTAAGTTGTATGTTGCAATTTTCTCAATTTGTATCGGTGCTAAGTTATTCTTTAACAATTTTCTCCTTATAGACGCAACAGATAGAAGTAAGATTAGTAGCGGTCAAAAGCGCTTTTTAATCGCATTAAGCCTATACCCCCTTTCATTTTTCGCGAACACTCCCTTTAACTAAAGAAGTTAAAGTTTAGAAATTTACAAAATTGCAAATACACTATATGATGCTCAAAAACTTTAAACAACAAATAAGAATTAAAACATTATATTAAAACTGATTAAAACATAATTTAAATATTATTAGATTTCATAATATTTGATATTGAATATGTATCTTATAAAAAAAGGTTATTTTCATAACACCCACGCTAAATCGTGTATAATTGGTTCTAAAAGATGTAATTTTGCAATAATTTTGCAACGTTCAGATAATTTTGCAAAAATCAAAAAAAGTTCACTGTATTTTTCTCGTTAGCTCCACGACTCTTCCCCTCCCAATTATTAATAAATGAAAGATGAAAAATGTAAGTTAATAGAAAGGTTAAAAATATTTATTATGCGTTTTGTATTTTTACTTTAATCATACACAACAGAGGAACTCAATTTATCTTGTTTTTAGATAGATAGATAGATAGATAGATAAATAGATAGATAGATAAATAGATAAATATATATATAGATGAATAGATAAATAGATAGATAGATAGGTATGTAGTTAGATAGATAAATAGATAGATGGATAGGTACATAAGTAGACTAGATAGATAGATAGCTAGATAGTAAACTAGATAGATAGATAGGTATTTAGTAAACTAGATAGATAGATAGATAGCTATATAGTAAACTAGATAGATAGATAGGTATATAGTAAACTAGATAGATAGATAGGTATATAGTAAACTAGATAGATAGATAGGTATGTAGTAAACTAGATAGATAGATAGATAGGTATATAGTAAACTAGATAGATAGATAGGTATGTAGTAAACTAGATAGATAGATAGATAGGTATATAGTAAACTAGATAGATAGATAGCTGGTAAAAAGAAAGGCTGGAACTAGAGTAACTAAGGGTTGAGGTATTCAGTCTAGAATTGTTGGATCAAAAATATCGGAAAATATTGAGAACTTGGGATATATTCAGTTCAGGTAGTTTATTTCAAATTCAAGCATTATTCTTATTTGAATATTATTCAGTAATTCAGGGCAGCTCACGCCACTTTTCAATTTGTACAATCTAAATTCTGTAACTCTTTTTCATTATTTAGTAGTTTACAGTTTACACTGACACATAATGTTTAGATTTTTTTCTTTGTTTAAAGATTCTAGAAGTTATATTCTTAAAATCATAATCATCAGAATAAGGAAGAAGCTTTTTCTTGTCCGTCTAATGTGTGCATTTCACAATTTTCTTTTTAAACTTTAGTAAGTTGTAACTGGACGACCAGAAATTGTTTAATGCGTAATATTAAAGGATTTGCCACAAACTCAAATTTTCTAATCCCTATATCTTTGCAACATAATAAAGTCAGTCATTAATAACTTATAAGTTTCAGAACGGTTTTTCTTCAGAATGCCTGCTAGTGGGGGAGGTGTCCTAACCTCAGAATATGGACCTGGTCCAATTCCGGGTCCTAGTCCTGAGTCCAGTCCTAGTCCAGGTTCAGGTCCTAGTCCTAGCTCTGGTCCTAGTTCACTGCTTCCAGTTCCAATTGATGTTTGGAGAGTTAACACAGTCCCAAACATTCAAGGTAAAAACACATTTGAATTGTCCTCACATCCTAGAAATTATTTCAAATTGTCCTCAAACTATTTCAACTTGTCCTCAAAATTATTCCAAATTGTCCTCAAACTATTCAAAATTGTCCTCAAAATTATGCCAAATTGTCCTCAAATTATTCCAAATTGTACTCAAAATTATTACAAATTGTCCTCAAAAGTATTCCAAACTGTCCTCAAAATTATTCCAAACTGTCCTCAAAATTATTCCAAATAGTCCTAAAATTATTACAAATTGTCCTCAAAATTATTCCAAATAGTCCTTAAAATTATTACAAATTGTCCTCAAAAGTATTCCAAACTGTCCTCAAAATTATTCCAAATAGTCCTTAAAATTATGCCAAATTGTCCTCAAATTATTCCAAATTGTACTCAAAATTATTACAAATTGTCCTCAAAATTATTCCAAATTTTGCTCAAATCTTGTAAATATTAAATGAAAGAGTATGTTCGAGTATGGTTTCCCGAGCACCTAATTAATCCAAATTTAGTGGATAGGAAACCCAGAGTCTCTTTTGATAAAACGCTATAACGAAGAAACAAGATAAATATATTTAAATTATTGTCAAGTTAATACAAAAATAACTACAGTTTCAATAGAACCCTTTAATCGAAATTCAAGCTTAAAATTGAAAGATTGGTTCTTAATATTTGGAAGTGTACAGTGAACTGAATGCGCCAAATGTTGCTCAGACTTTTAATTCATTCATCTAATATGTTCGCACTTAAAGGGACTGTTAACGTAATTTACCGTGACCCTCAATGCGCAGATGACAATACTAGATTTACAACGGTTCCTTTCAAACCTTTATCTGATCAATAAGGTGGAAGATACTGTCGTTTCAATAAGTTTAAAAGTGTTTAATTTAAACAATTTCTATGTTTTACTGCAGTATAAATGCGCAAGTTACTTTTGTAAAGAAACAGAAATTGAAAATAATCAGTTTTCTAAATTATATACTTTGATATATAATTCATACTTGATCAAACAAAGGTTTAAAGAGAATCAATGTGAATCGGTCAACCTTTGAATTACGCGCTTAGAATCTTTAATTCCCCTTGAAAATTGTAAACTGTTTAGAGACTGTGAAGGGACCAACAGGAGCGAGTTCAAATATATCCTTAGAAAGAGCATCTAACAGCGCTAAAATGAGGTGAATAAGAAAAAAATGTTGTATAGGCTGAAACCTAATCACTTTAGCTCTTGATCGCGACCCATGAAAATTATATCTGCATGTTCCTGTCTCAAGAAATTGATATCAAAGTCTGTGTCAAATTTATACGAAAATTGAAAGAAATACAATTTTGTGTAGGAATAGTAGGTTTAAACAGATCATACTTAGCAAATACACGAAGATATCCCAGAGAACATGTGACCAGTATACTGTACTCTCAATAGTGGGAGTTCTGGTGACGTATTGTGGACATTTAAATAATATTATCAATAATATCTATTCAAAATAAAAATAAAAATTATAAAATTATAATTGGAGCAAACCTAAATGAAGATTAGTTTCCTCTGGGATATCTTCGTTTTCAGATTGGTTGCATATTTACTGAATATGATCTGCTTAAACTTACTATTTCTATACAAAACTGTATAAATATGAATTTTCATATCAATTTGACACAGTTTTTTATTAATTTCCCGGCCAAGAACATCAGATAAATTTTCATGGGTCCCGATCAACAGCTTAAGTGATTAGCTTTCAAACTATACCCCCTTTCCTTTATAGTCCCTTTCACTTTTTTCATGATATTCTTTTAAGGTGCATGCAACCTGTTGGCTCATGTAATTGTCTCTTTTTGTCTGTCTGTCTGTTTCTTTGTCCGGACATAACTCACGAACTCCTTGACCAAATCTCAAATTTCATTGGGAAGCTAGGTAGACCAGGGGAATGTTCTTAGCTTGGTTTAAAAAAACGTAATGAAGTCCTAAGCTACTTTTTGTATAAACCGCCAAAATTTGAATCTAGAATAATTTTTTTTTTAAATATTTGTAAAGCACAAATAGTAAAAGAGTAACAAATCTTAAAAACAATGGGCAATGAAAAAATTAGAAATCACCTCAGTATTCTTTTCTGGTTGTCAAAACCCTTAAAAATAATAAAGGAATTCAACCCCACCTAGCGAAAATTATTTGAACTAAGCTTTCCTCTAGAATTATAAAACTGGAGAAGAGTTTGGTCTGGCTGCAGCAGCAGCATAGACAGATGTTAGCAGACCTCTTTAATGAGATAGAAACAATGAAGAATAAAAATAGAGGTACCGGAGACAGAACATCTCAAAATCAAAAATTTTAATGGGAAAGATATGCATTATGCAACTTAAAGTGACCTTTTATAAACGGTTTGTCACATTTCCAAATGGTACCTGTAAACCTTTATCTTATCGTCAACGGCAAACAAAAAATTGAATTACACATTTCCTTTTTTAAGTTAGAATCAAATTTTTTTTTATTTTCTGCAACTTACGAAAAATAATTAATAATTTGACTACAATACCTAACAGTTTGCATATAAAGTTATTAAACAATTAGAAGTTTTGAAATATGTAAGCACCCCATCCTTGAACAGACATCAAATTGAAGGGTACAGTTGTGAATCCGACATGCCGTATACAAATATAGAATTACTTGATACATATGTCTACAGTTCACAAAACTAAAAAAAATTCAGGATTTTTTAGCATAATATAATAATATGTTCTAAATTTACAGATTTATAAAAAAAATTGAAACCTGGTTTTTTTGTGATTCCAGGTTCTAAAAGAAAGTAGACAAAGTGATGGGAAAAAGCATTAAAACTATCATCTCAATGTTTTCATTTATTTTTTACATTACCATAATGTTTCATTTCTTTTTTTTACATTACCACAATGTTTCATTTTATTTTTTTTAACATGACCACAATGTTTTCTTTTTTTTTACATTACCCAATGTTTTCATTTCATTTTCACATTACCGCAATATTTTCAATTTTTTTCACATTTCCACAATGTTTTCTATTTATTTATTGCTTGATAGTTTGTCCAGTTGCCTGCTTTCTCTCAAGCAGAACGGACCTACTATGTAGTAGTCCCAGAATTACAGCTAGGGAAGCCCTGAGTTTAGTTACGCATCTTGTATCCTACAGGGGAAGCTGAAAACAAAATTTCATCTTCAGCTTGGTGCACTGAAAGAGGAGTTTAACCCCTCGTGGGAAAAAAGCCTTGCACAACGATACTGGTTTTTTACTCGACCAGATGTGAAGACTGGACTGCCATCGAAGATACCTCTCAAGAGAGCTTTCAGGGATCACAACTCCCCATTTTGCATAAAGGGTGCAGTTATGGGTAAATTCCTTAATTCCCCTAACTGGGAAACAGTATAAAATGAAGGAACACAGGGAGAAATCCCCTATACCCTTCTTCCTACAAACCTCCTTATCTCTCTCCTACCTGCTCCATCAAAAAATAGTTTTGCCTCTGCAATTTGGCTAGCTGCAGAAAACATCCAAAAAATTCATTTATTTTTGTTTTCAAAATTAGCCAAAGTATGATTGAAGGATGGACAAGGAATGGACGATCAAGAAAAAAGAATGAAAAACAAGAAATATAGAAGTCTCAAAATGTTTCCATCTGATTTCATATTGAAATTTAAAAATATTGTAAAATTTGATTAAAATAAATTATTAAAGTTAAAAATTTCTTGATAGTTTGTATTCCTCCTAATGTAAAATTATAATAATAAGGATTATAACTTTTATTTTTAACTTTAATTACTTTATTTTGATTAAATTTTACACTACTTTTTAAAATTTTTATATGATATCAGATGAAAGTATTTTGAGATTTCTATTTTTCTTGTTCTTCATTTTCTTATTATTCCTACATATTTCATACATCTTTTAATCATATATTGGCTATTTAAAAAAAGAAAAGGGATGTCCTTTTAATAAGCCATTTTACAAGAAAGAACTATTTTTAAAAAGATCTTGGTTTTTTCTGCACCCTGTATTTATCTAAACTAGCGAATGATCTGACTTTCTCTTCTCAGAGCTCTCTATATTGAATTCTTGGGGGCAATAGAAGGAGAGGGGGCTAAGAGTGAGCAAATCACCGCCCTCTCCTCTCCCCTTGTAATATTTGCACATGTTTTACTTGTGTCAGCTTCTTCTACACACTTTCTAGAGCATTTTATTTGGGGTAGGGGGGGATCTCTCATCTTGCCTTTGTCTTCATTTTATATTGGTTGAAAAAGATAGTGTAAAGCTTAACACCCCTTCTAATTTTCCTGTTCAAAAGTTTCTTCTTTTTTCTTGTTTATCTTGTTTATACACTTTAAGGCCTTTCCAAATAGTTCTTTTGATTTTGATCGATTTGTAAATCAGGTATGAGAGAGATAAGGGGGTTTGTGGGAGGAAGGGTATAGGGGATTGCTCCCTTTGTTCCTACTATTATACTCTTTCCAAATTAAGGGGCATTATTTAAACCCATAACTGCATCCCTTATGCAATATGGGTATCGTTGTGCAAGGCTTGTAAACCCATCAGGGGTTAAACTCCTTTTTTCAGTACACCAAGCTGAAGATGAAGTTTTGTTTTTTTCTATGTACTTTCGTTGCTTTGATGTAGGATACAAGATGTACAACTAAACACACTCCTCCCCCAGACTGTAATTCTGGGACCACATAAGATAGGTCCGCTCTCTTTGGAGAAAGTCAGGCAACTGATTATAACTTTTATGATTAAATGTTTAGAACTTCAATTCCAGCTTCTAATGAGTGGAGTAGACCCTGACACCTTGAAACAAACAGAAATCAAAATTTCAAGGTTTTTTTATACTTTTTATTCAAAATAGTGAAACCCTTGTTTAATCAATAATTTGGTAAATAATGTAATTTTTCTGGCTTAATCATGTTTAATTCTGTTAATTTCTCAATTCTTTCTTAAGCAAGAAATGTATAAGTCACTTTTATGGAGAAACCAAAAGACACATCTGTTGTTAATTGTACGTGCCACTCTATCAATGGACGGTCACTTGAAATTATGTTTACAGTACCTTAAAGAAATTAATTGATTACGTTAAAACACTATAATTTTTCTCCTCTCTGCAACTAATCTTTGCAACCACGTAGTGTCCACCTTTCATCTTTCAAACTTTGATTTTTAGATCAAATAGAACTCATAGTTTGAATTATCTAAGGTCTACGACATCAGGTTCCAAAGAGAGCAAAATCTATCTTTAAAATCCTCTTTGGCACTTACCCCAAGGCAGGTTATGGTGCTGCATAACCTGCTGAGCAGCCTTGCCAAGCCATAATCTGCCAGGAATCCATGCTGCGCCACAACCTGCCTAGGGGGGAGTGCCGAAGAGGATTTTTAGGATCTATTGTGTGCTCTTACTTAGCAATGAAACACCGTACAAACATAGTTTAGATCTCAAATGATTTCTAAAAAAATCTCTAAAATACTGAATTCTCAGCTCAACTACCTTGTTTAGCCAGACACTCCCTTTAAAGGGAGTGACCGGCTATGTAAGGTAGTTGAATTGAGTATGCAGTGTTGTTGAAAACTTCTTTCGGATTCATTTGAGACATATTAAACTGTTTAAAGATCTGTAAATCCTGAGTTTGAGCGCAAATTCGACGTTCAAAACTCCTACTTTGGGGGTGGATACGTTTTCAGAATTATTTTTTTTTAACAATTAAATAACGACAACGAAAAATAAAGTAAAAATTATACAATAATCTAATTAGATGGTTAGGAACATATTTCTCGAAAGAAATTTGTCAATAAATCAATGTTAAAGTCGATTATTTCTTTTTCATTATTATATTGAATTTCTTTTTTTCTTTGAATTTCTTCGCAGATTTCTTCAAATTCTTCAAATGTCGTCTTTTCAATAATAATTCTAGAAAATCTGCGAAGATCTTTGTGAATATTAAGGAACCAGAATAATGAGAAAATATAAACTAATAATTGAACCAGATTACTTATTTTCGATGATAAGATTAATTTTTATTTTCTCAACATGTTCCTATACATGACGTCTGTAGTTTTTTGTAGAACTTTTTTTACATTTTATGTCGTCGGTATTTAATGATTTATAAAAACTAATTCTGAAAACGTATCCACCCCCAAAGTAGGAGTTTTGAACGTCGAATTTGCGCTCAAACTCAGGATTTACAGATCTTTAAAAAGTTTAATATGTCTCAAATGAATCCGAAAGAAGTTTTCCACAACACCGCATACTCAGTTCAACTACATTACATAGCCGGTCACTCCCTTTAAAAGTGTTTATTTCTGATATTACTTGCAGCAGAAATGCACAAGTCACAGAAACCACAGTTGAAAATAATCAGTTTTCAAAATTATAAACAATGATGTCATGCTTGATCAGACACAGCTTTTAAGGTTACCGTTATAAATATGACATTGCTATATATATCAATAGTGAGTCTCTTGATATTACGCATGCACAGTCCCTTT